GCCAGTCTGGAGATGTTCAAGTCCGGCGCATTCAGCAGCGATCCCAGAGAGCCCTTCCAAGTCGACAGTGCGGGGCTGAAGAAGCTCGACGTCGCAACAGTGGCGCGTGGCTTGCAAGTCAACGCCACAAACCCAATAGACGGTCTCGAGGGTCGCACCAGCCTGCTGCTCCGCCTAGCAGAAGCCCTGCAAAATCAAGAAGTCTTTGGTCTCGAAGCGCGGCCAGGAAACATGCTCGGTACGCACACCATCCACAAGGCATGATGTTGGCTAACACTCTCAGACTACCTCCTCTCGCACCCCACCACACAAGCATCATCAGTCCCCATTATACCCCTACCCACACTCTGGAACACTCTCATGGACAGTTTGACCCCCATCTGGCCGGCAACGAGGACACAAATCGACGGTGTACCCATGGGCGACGCCTGGCCGTGCTCCGTCATGCCATCGCATCCTACCCACCCGTGGGAGAACATTGTCCCTTTCCATAAGCTGACACAATGGATGACCTACTCGCTAATGGTGCCAATGACGAGGCTACTCCACGTTCACTTCCCCGGCGCTGAGCTTCTGACCGGGTTGCCAGAATACCGAAACGGTGGACTTTTCATTGACGTCGGCCTCCTAACGCTCAAGCCCGATGACCAGAAGCGCGGCCTCGCACAATACCAACGCAACGCACAGGTGACAGGGCAACCGAGCATGGAGGTTGTGCCGATGTTTACCGCCGACGATGACGTGATCGTAGAATGGCGCGCAGTCACTGTCGGGTTACTCGACGATCTCCTAGTCGACGTAAATCAGCTGTTGGGCTTGAGCGGCTCTGACAAGCTCAATCTGGCCCAAATGTTGGAAGCTGGTAGTTGGAAGGTAAGTTTGACATGATTCCCATGTTCTGGGATGTAACTGACCCACAACACTAGGGAGGTCGAGAGATTGCTGAAGTGTCGCGGCCCAACACTAAAGAACCGCCAATCATGATCCTCTCGGACGGCACTGTTTTCTAAGATACCCCTTTCTTCGTTTGTTCCGCCCTTCCTTCGCTTCCTTCACATACAGCATCGTGCAGCGGAAGCACGTATCCGATACCCACGAGGGACCCTTGCCCCAGCCGCCGCAGTACCTTCTAATTATGGCCAAGTGGATGGGATTTATGATACACGATCTTGACGGTCGCATTTGGTGGACAGCTTCTTGTTTATACGTTCTGCTTTGTCACACCAGCCACGTTTACGTTTCATTCTACTTTGGAAGCGCTGGCGGCTTAAGATTCATTTCATGTGTTGTAATAATTCCTTACCATGACTTTTGGAATCTCCGTAGCCACGTACCAGAACCTTTCGAACGACAGCTGGCGCCTTCACTAATCTTCACAATGGGGAATTTTGATCTGACTAGAACTCCATGAACATAATACAAGAAATACTATGATGTGCATCGCTTTGACCACTGTTGATAGCAAGGATGGCCATCGCGTTTCCCAGTAGAAGGAATGCGGAGTGCGGAAGTGCCCCACTCACCTGCCAAGACGAGACCCAAAACCGCTCGGGGACGCCAAAGCTCGCCCAGGCGTGCTGTTTACAGTACGTCATCCCATCACCAAATCCCACCTGCACGCGACGGCTCCATATTACTAGACGCTTACCACTCCGCGTTCGCTACCAACCTTACCTTTGTCGCGCGGCGGTCTTCGCACAGCGCACCTTATCGCGACTCGCACGTAGCTTCTTTCCACAGTCGGAACGCTATCACCATGAACTCCATCAAACGGCAGAAGCAGCGCAAGGTGCTGCTTATGGGCAAGAGTGGAGCCGGCAAGTCATCAATGAGAAGCATTGTGTTTAGCAACTACGTCGCCAAAGATGTCCGGAGATTGGGTGCGACAATCGATGTTGAGCACAGCAATATCAAGTTCATGGGAAACCTCATGCTCAATCTCTGGGACTGCGGAGGGTGAGCCCATCAGCTACCAGACCAGACGATAACACGAACTGATCTTTCGCAGTCAGGACGGCTTCGTCGAGAACTACCTCAATCAATCTAGGAACCACGTCTTTGGCTCCGTCGCCGTCCTCATCTTCGTCTTCGACATCGAATCGCGCGAGTTCGCAGCCGACGTCGTCTCCTACTCAAATATCATTCGCGCCCTCCACGAGTGCAGCCCCAATGCCAAAGTCTTCTGTCTTATACACAAGATGGATCTTGTACAAGCCCGCCTCCGCCAAGCTATGTTCGACGAGCGCGCCGAGTACATCCGGGAGGCTAGCGAAGGATTCAAGGATACGGTTGAGTTTTTCGCAACAAGCATCTGGGACCAAAGCCTGTACAAGGCCTGGACAAAGATCATCTACTACTTGATACCGAATGCGGGAACGATTGAGGCACTGCTGGAACAGTTGGCCGAGGTTATTGATGCTAGAGAACTCATTCTGTATGAGCGTACAACTTGTCTTACAGTGGCACATGTTACAAGGCAGACTGAGGAAGCCAACCCGTTCACGGACCGGTTCGAGCGCATCTCAAGCATCCTGAAGACGCATAAACAGAGCATGGCGTACGTACCTGTCCTCCAACCAACCAACCATTCAAGACTTGGCTAATACTCTTTTCCCTCACAGGAAACACACAAACATTCCTGCCGGTAGTGCAAACTTTGCAGAAATGCAGATCAAAACGGGTCGCTTCATGTTCTTCATAACACGTCTCACCGAAAACACAAACCTCGCAGTCACCATCCCGCCTTCCGAACAGGTCTTCAACGCAGCCCGCGTGAACATCTTTCAAGTACGACCCAAATTCGCCGAACTCGACATCACCGCCAAACCTAGACCTCCGATTCAGACTGCGTTTGCAGGGAGCGCGGATACGAGCGACAGCACAGATAAAGGGAAGCAGAAGGAAGTAGGATACGGAAATGGCGTCTAGACGTCGCCTGAGCACAAGAGGGAAGTGAAGAGGATTGAAAAACTAAAAGACAGCTTGACGCAGGGCTTCGAGGATATGTTTGAAAGGGTCGACCCAACATGGGAAGGTTATGAGGAAACGCTGGACCAGACTAACCGGGCGAAGCGATTCTTACAGAATTATCAAAACTCTGAGGCTCTGCGGGTTTCAGAAACGTCGCCAGCACACAAAGAGGTAGAAAGGGCCTCAAATACTCCCCCATTGAACGGGCAGCGGAAAGAGGCAGAAGTGGCTGGTTCTGATGATGTACCTTCGGCCGGGAGTTGAAAGTCCATCTTTCAGCGCCGTTTTCCAGCAAGTGCATCGTGGAGATTCAGAGACAAATTCCACAAAGTCCTGGCATCCATTGATGTAACATTTCTCAGCTGGATTGGCTAGTTCGGAGCTTGGCTCGACATTGAGAGGTAGCAGATGTAGCTGTATCCGGAACGGTTACAAAGACATGTTGAAGATACCGATTCTTGAAGATCTTCAGATCCCTATCTATCTGGGCGTGCCGCTCCCTTCTTCATTCGCCAAACGCTTAACGGCAGTTGGCTTGCGACAGATGCTAGCCTTCGTCTCGACATACTGCGTGCGGCAATGATCAAGAATCCCGCGTTGGCCGATATCCATGGATCCCATGCGACAACACCCGACTATCGTGATTGCGTTGAGAAAACGCCGCATGCAAATCTACACAGAGAGCGAGCCAGGTGCGTCCTGTGTAGGTGCCAAAGCGAAGAGACTCAGGCATCCATCAGCGCCCCCACCAAGACTCAATCTCACCACAGACGTGCATCGCGCAGGTCTCGATCTGCGCTACCTTGCTAGCACCCATGCTGCAGATCCAAGAAAACACAAGAAAGCACATCCAAGAGAAAACGGTTGGTGCACAAGCAAGGCCAAGCGAGAATGCGGGGAAAACAACCTTCGCCTTTGTCTGATCTTGATCACGCAAAGCCTTGGATTGAAAAACGGGGCACGACGGCTTCGCCGTTCTTGATTGAAAACAGCAAGGAAGTACCTTGAAGCGCCGATGTCTTGCTAATATGCATAACAAGTGAGGTACTCGTTGTAATCCCGGAGTATGGTACTTTGCGATACAAGTGGCCGCAGCACCGGTCAAAGCATTTGCTGGGTGAGCTGATATATTAATACCGATCCTTCGGGAACTATGTGGACGTGCAGTGCATCTTTGTGCATTTACGTATGCATGCAGATATGGCGATGAGTCTTGTGTTACATTGCACCATGCCGTCATGTGAGATCCTCGTTTGCTTCAGCTGAGAGAAGTGGGTGTGTTTGTGGCTTGGCCTCAGGATACCAAGATGGAATGACCGAGGAAATGCCAAGGCGAATGTAGCGTACATGGCTGGTTTGCGATGGGACAGAATAGCTGTGCCCGTTCTGTTGTTTCTGCCGTTACTATATGGGGGTTGAGCGCACGATGCTCCGTGGTATCGAAGAAGCGCCGAAGCCGCGTATCTTGAGCCATGGATTTATATTACCCGGAGTTCGTCGCGGCTTGTGATATCGGCATCAGCCTTAGCCCCTCCTGGCCCTCGCTTCATCGCAGCAAGAACTTCCAAGGCGTGAAGATACCGTCAAAGCCCGGCCAAGCCTATTACCCAAGAACGACCAAGTGCTCCGCCTTACCGTTTTGCAGCCACCAACGTTGGCCGACTCCCAGCTGTTATGCGGTGATTACTTACCCTGGCCTATCAGCTCATGATGCTATTGGCTGGTGAGCTGGCACCGCGTGATCGTGTCTGAGCATTTTGTTGATGGATAGCGATGGTTGCATGTGTGAGGATCGGTATTGGCATTGACCCAAGACGGGGAAACTGCAGCTTTTGGGAATGAAGCAGTAAGCCTGAATGACACGAACATATAAGCATGTCTGTTCGCCTGGTCTCGTATGATGAAGCTCTTTTGCATCTTTTCTTCTTGTTCTCGTATCTTGCTGGAAGCTTTCCTGAAGCTATCTCCACCTGGGCTTCGACGCCAAACATACTCAAGCTGTAGTGCGCACGTCTGCCTATAAGTTGGCCATGGCAGAACCTGAAAAGGATACCAAGATTGAGTAAGCTACTTGTCGCAAGCTGAAGGTGGTCACGATGTGAGGCTCAAATTATACTAACCGTGTGTCTTCTAGTCCAGTGGTAGTGGATGAACACCACGAGCGCAAGACATCCATCTTCGACGATGAACAGAAGCGCAAAGAGAGCGTCGCTCGCCTAACAGCCAATCTCGAGGGCGAGTAAGTAATCCCTTAGCTGATCAAACCCACTTGGCACAAGCAGACTCGCGCCCGAAACTTCTCAAATGGCATGCTCAAGACTCGCTTTTACTAACAAATCCAGAATCCGCAACCCGCTCGTCGACATCCCACGAGAGCAGCTCTTAGCCAACGTGCACGACTTCGCCACAGAGCACCAACTAACCGACGTCGAGCCTCTCCTCGTCAAAGGCGCCCTCCTCGCCCAGTCGCCCGCACTCTTCGAAGATCTCGAAGAACTAGACGAGAATGATCGTACCGCCATCCGCGAAGAAATCACCCACCGTTTCAAACTACCTCGTACACTCTACTTTACCATTATCCTCAACTCCGTCGCCGCAGCTATCCAGGGCTGGGACCAAACGGGCTCCAACGGCGCTAATCTAACGTTCGGTCAGGCGCTTGGTATCCCCGATTCTGGTCCGGTGTGTGAGGCGGCGGGGACTTGCGAGAAGAATGGGTGGATTATTGGGTTTATTAATGCTTGTCCTTATATTGCTATTGCATGTGAGTCTGAGATGATGGGAAATTGGGGAGGAGTATGCTAACTTCGTACTTTTACAGTGTTCTGTGCTTGGATCTCTGGTGAGTCGGCTTTGAAATTCTTCTCATCTCATACCATCTCTTGCTAATGACCCTAGACCCCGTGAATGAACTCTGTGGTCGTCGTGGTACCATCTTCATCGCTGCCGTCTTCTCACTCTTGGCGCCCTTTGGCATGGGTCTGAGTCAGACATGGGGCGAGCTTGCTGTTTGCCGTGTGCTTTTGGGTGTTGGTATGGGACTTAAGGAAGTAACTGTGCCTGTCTTCTCGGCAGAGAATGTTCCGGCTAGTGTACGTGGCGGGCTCGTCATGTCCTGGCAGATCTGGTGAGTTAAGACTGTACGAATGCGTGTGAGATGAATACTGACTTCGCAAGGACGGCGTTTGGCATCTTCCTGGGAACGGTCGCTAATCTGGCTGTCATGGTGAGTCCGTGAACGTGCTCGTAGTTTGCAACCGCTGACAATGGATAGAACACTGGGTCAATTTCATGGCGTCTACAATTCGGATCCGCGTTCATTCCTGCCGTTCCCCTCGTCATTGGCATCTGGTTCGTTCCTGAAAGTCCAAGATGGCTTATGAAAAAGCGAAAATACGCCAAAGCATACCGGTCCTTTCTTCGTCTACGCAACACCCCTCTTCAAGCAGCACGCGACCTCTACTACACCCATTGCCTCCTCGAGCAGGAAGAGGTCCTCATTCGCGAAGCTGGAATCAACCCCAAGTCCAACTTCTTCACACGCTTCATTGAGCTGTTCACGATTCCGCGTGTCCGTCGCGCGACGCAAGCTTCTGGTATTGTGATGATCGGTCAGCAGGTAAGATAGCGGGAATTCGATTGGGATGAATGAGGCTGACGAGAATAGATGTGCGGCATCAACATCATCGCGTTCTACAGCTCCACGATCTTCGCAGAAGGAGGAGCCACAAACAAGGAAGCCCTCATTGCGTCTTTTGGGTTCGGTCTCGTGAACTTCACGTTCGCTTGGCCGGCAGTCTGGACAATCGATACTTTCGGTCGCCGCGGCCTGCTTCTTTCCACGTTTCCCAATATGTTCTGGACGCTCCTTGTGGCTGGCATGTGCTATTACATTCCCAAGGACAGCGATGCACACCTGGGCTTGATTGCCTTCTTCGTGTACCTTTTTGGCGCCTTCTACTCTCCTGGAATGGGACCGGTGCCATTCACGTACTCGGCTGAGGTATTCCCGCTTTCGCACAGAGAAGTGGGTATGTCATGGGCTGTAGCCACGAACAACTTCTGGGCGGTAAGTCAAGTCGAACCGTCGGATTCTCTAGTGCGACCTGGACTGACTTGACACGCAAACGATTAGGCAGTGCTGTCGCTCACACTTCCTCGCATGCTCAAGGTTATGAGACCTCAAGGAGTATTCGGCTTCTACGCTGGTCTCAATGTTGTCGCCCTAGTTATGATGTAAGCCACTCTCGATCTGCTGCAACATTCTGAGAGCTAATAAATCTCCAGCTTCCTCTGGCTACCCGAAACCAAACAGCGAACACTTGAAGAGCTCGACTACATTTTCGGAGTCCCTACGCGCACCCACATGAACTACCAGGCTGGCAAGAACCTGCCTTGGTGGTTCAAGACGTACATACTCCGTCGCAAGGGTCTCTCCAAGCCTCAGCTTTACAAGTTTGGCGACCAGCGTCCACCTGTGAGTGTAACAGCGCAGATGAGCTATGCTTGGAACACGTACATTCTTCGCAAGAAGGGGCTGGCGAAGCCGGATGCTTATGTTCGTGCGGCGCCTCGAGGCGAGAAGCAGGTCTAGTCAACTTTGGAATAGAGTGTAGCGCGAAGCGAGAGATGGTGGTGATGCTGGATACATAGTTTGCAGCATGTTGGAGCCCATGGAACGTATCGATCGGTGGCCTAGCACGGCGTATGGGTGGTTGTGGCGGCATGCGCTCTTATCGATTTTTTTTTGTTTATACGCTTGAACTCGCTCGACTGGGCATTCTAGTCTGTCACTAATCACGATGAGTACCGCAGAGTACCGGGGGTGTGGTTTTCGTCGCACACATCGCTTCCAAGGTTGTTCCGCGTTGCTCCTTCTCCCCGTCGCTCGCTTGACATATGATAAGTTCCACAACGATAGAGTAACAAGATGGTATCCGATAAGACGTGATAAACCTTGGAAGGTAGACGGCGATGTGAAGTCATTCGTCGTGGAGACGGATCGCTGTCAGAATCCCCACTACTCAAGGCGACGCCTATCGTCATGCGGCCCCACAAAAACGCGCTTCTCAAGCGCAGCGCGCGTCTGGATACTAGTGCAGACCATTATCAACCACTTTCACATGCACCAGGAAGCATCGTAACGGCTATTCGGATGCTGCGCCAAACCCCGAAGGGCTCTGACAGGAGGTGCCTCGGCAGTCAGCCTCGGCATGAAGCTAACCACCAGCCAATGCACCCCAGCGCAGCTATCACGGCGGCCGCCTCGAGGGTGGGCTGACCATCAGCAACCCCATAGCTCCAGGAACCCGACGATCCCGGGGCACATCCTCTTCCTTTCCTGTCTTCCGACTTAAAGTTGACTTACCCCCATACGTTGCTCCCCTGACTTGACCGTCGGATCCGCTTCTCGAAGCCATTTCCCCGCATCTCCCGCCGTTTCCGCACGCTCTTATACAACGCCTGCGCCGCCGCCTCGCGGGTACCTCACCAGCGTTGTCGCAAAGCATCACGTCTGCTTGACGAATACCCAAGATGCCAGTCTTTGACCTGAAGAAGAACCTCGTCTTCGTAATGGCGCCCGTACAGCCCCAGAGCGCGCTCGCTGGCTAATGCGAAGAGCAGTATGGCGCATACCACCGCGATCCAACCAATGTCGCCATCCACATAGCATGCGTGCCCGTCCTTCTCGCAACAGGAATCTTGTTTGTGCGTCGCCATCCTATCCTTCCGTCCTCTCAGTATAGATCGCTGACTGACCCGACCATCTAGGGCACCAACACACCCACCCTCCCCATCCGCCAGCACCCGCTCCTGACACGTCTCAACCTACCGTTAAACCTAGGCACAATTGCCGCAGCCACCTATTCGACCTTATACCTCATGCTCTCCCCCAACCTCGCCGGCATCACCGTCACCCCCATCATCCTCGCCTTCGCATCCCTCTCCAACCGCCTCACGCAGCGCTACAACAAGACCAAAGTCAACAGCATTGCCGGCGCCATCCATGTCGTGAGCTGGATACTACAATTCGTAGGACACGGAAAATTCGAGGGACGGAAGCCGGCTTTGCTAGACAATCTGGTCCAAGCCCTGTTTCTGGCACCGCTGTTCGTGTGGTATGAGATTCTGTTCAAGATGGGCTTCTACAAGAACCTGAGAAGGGAGGTCGACATGGGTATTGAGGTGGAGATTGCCAAGTTGAAGGCGAAGAAGGCTGGTAAGGGTAAGGGTAAGGAGACTGTGATGGATGATGTGATTGATATTGTGGATAACGAGAAGGAGAGCGGTGATGAGGTTTGAACATGGAGTGAAATTGATTCCCGAGATATCTGAGTAACAGTATGGCAGCCCGAATATGACATTATGCACCAATGGTCGCCATCGCTACCAGCATTGACCAGTTACAGATAGAGTACTGTACAAACGTATGACACAACTTTTTTATCCACATATCCACAGCACTCAGCACAATTCAGTATCCTGAACTTCCAGTTTGCATCACTCGAAAGCCGCTTTGAGAATGCTCTCACGCTTCAAGACAGCGATAAGGTCCTTTAGTAAAAATGATTAGCAGTTGTCCAGAATGATACCAAGAAACACTTACTTTAAACGGATCCTCATCAAGCTCAACCGAAACAGGCATGATAGCCACCTGGGATGGCATGGCGGGCTCCTGGCTTTCGTCTTGTACAATGCTAACGCACTCAGGAATCTCCTCTAGCAGCAAGTCTGGCACATCGCCAGCAGGAGTATCCGCAATCGCCGTGTTGATGGAGTCGATAGCGTCTCCGAAGGCGGTGGCAGTAGAAAAGACGGGTGTCTCGACAGGCGGGGCCACAGTAGACCCGGTGGAACGGATCCGATACGCCAGTGTAGAGACCTCACTCTCCGTCTTCTTGACCTGAGTGCTGTCAACGGCAGTCTCATCCGTATCATCAGACTCCTCTTCTTCCTCATATCCTTCCCAGATCTTAAACTTTCCCCGCTTAAACGCCAGCTTTGCCGTGCTGAAGTTGACGATCTTCCGGAAGCGAAATGGTTCGATCTCAGGCCAGTATGTGTATGAGAAATGGATGCAGCGCGAGTAACCGGCAACGTAGTCTCGGGCCGCGTTGAGGGAAGGGAACGCTGGTAGCCATGTGGGGATGCGGGTGAAGAGCTCTTTAATGTCGCTCTCGATAGCTCCTATTTAATGAGTTAGTGTAGCATAAAGCGTCCAAAAGTGAGATGGCATACCGTTCATCGTAGTCAACTTCATCCCAGGCGCTTTTGACCCCTTGGGCTTTCGGCATCGCCAATCCTCACCGGGGACATCCATCTCAAAGCGACCATCTTCAAAAGTATGCCTCACAGTATTGAAGTTTACGTAACGCCGAAACTTGTCCTTCTCAACCCCTTTGAACTCTGTGTATGCGAAGCCTTTCCAACGTGCAACACTGTCGACGTGTACGAGAGCATCGTCCACACCGGAGAAGTGGGGCCAATAAGGTACCAGGGGGAGTAGCCGTCGAATGTCTGCTTCAATGGCAGCTGAGTCGTGTTATATGTCGGCTTGGAATAACCAAAAAAGACGGGGCAAACATACCTCTCAAAGCCGGCCGATCTACCAATCCGACCTCCAAGTAGAACTCTCCCTGCTTGAAAGCGTTGCAGGCTACTACGAAGCATACCTTGTCCTTGATGTATGCCAGCTCCTGCTTCGTCAAGAACTGCTTGGTGGTGATGTACTGGTTCCCAGACTGCTTGCAGGTAGTGTTGATGTACTCTTTGACTTCTTCGATGTCGTGGAAGCGTGTGGGGTAGGTGTGTATGTCTGCTTCTACTTTCGCTGCGGCGCAGAAGACAATGCCTGTAAGTGTTAGTGGAGAACTCTGTTGTACACGAGGAAAGAGCTCGACGAACTCTTTAGGTGCTTGTTATAGGGCATGATGATCGTGTCGGCAAGATCGGGTGGGTGCCTGTCAGGTTGTGGATAGAGAGAAAGATAATGTATGTTGTATCGAGATACTGATGAAGAGGAGTGGAAGACGATGAGATGTTCAAACTCTGTTGCATTCTGGTTTGAAATGACTGCGTTCTAACAAACGCACATGTTCCAGCCCAAGGCATCGGATGGACGTGACACGTAGCCAGTCGCCTGCAAACGAACGCGAGCGAATCTAGTCTCTTGATGGCGGAAGTCAAGACCACTAAGCATTCGGCAACGCCAGACACCGATCAGAATCCGAAGATAGTAATCAGCTGTCCTGACAGACGCCGCTATGTATAATATACAATCTCGTGGCTGCGCACGTACTGCCCGCATGATCAATCGTCATGCCTGTACCAAAACGCTCATTTTAATACACTTTTGACACCTGACATACAACTTGTCTACTCTTCCTCGTCGCTCTCATCATCGTCCACCCTATACAAGAAGTACTGCACAAACACTCCGGCATCCAACAACAATGTGCCAAAGCTGCCCAACAGCCAGCTCATATTGACCGCAATGTATTTGCCGTACTCGGCACGCCCCTCCCCATCCTGACAAACGTGGCCCCCACACTTGGGCTTGTATACCAGGATACTCAGAACATACGTCAGGTTACCCAGGCAAGCAAACAGAAAGAACAACATGCTGATGCCCTCGGTCGACTTGCGGCGGTAGTTGAGCAGGAGCTGTGGGACGCGGGACCCAAGATAAAGCGCGGCACAAACGTAACCTGAGACCTGGCCCCAAAGGTTGAAGTGCAGGGTCGATTCGGGTGATGAGTCCTCGCCGTCGGGCTGGCTGGGAGCGGTGGAGTTTCGTGCGCTAAGATACCAACCGAAAACACCGGCCGCGCATACAAGAACTATGGTTCCAAGATTGAAGAGGATCGTTTGCAGACTGGACTGGGTCGGCTGAGACCTGGCTGTAACTGTGCCATTTTGATGTGCAGCAGTCGAGTCATCGTGGAGCGGTGTGACAGGCGAGAGATGCGTACCGTCGATGGAGAGGTAGCGCTCACGGAATGAGCCTTGAGAATGACCTGAGCCACGGCGATCGATGTCCGAAATGCGCGGTCTCTGGACTTCGATTCCATGGCCGTTGCCGTTTGTGTATGGTGAGCCGCTCGATTGGGGTCTGCGATGAGGCAGAAGTGGTGACTGCTCGCTAACTTCGCTATCCGTGTCGGATTCATCGGCGGGTTTCTTATACTCATCGCGCAACGTAAAGCCCTTGTAGTAGAAGCACTGTAGCAGCAGCACGATGTCGGCTAGAGTGTAATACACCGCCAATATGGTCATCGTTGGCAGGACACCTTGCAGCACCGCGCCTATGATATTGAAGAAGTCGCCGAGTAGCCATACTACGATGAAGACCACTGAAAGGCCCTCCGCTGAGCCTCTCTTCCAATTCTCGATGATCTGAGGTGAGAAAACAACTGTCGCACAGGTTAGCTCCGGCGTGCCGAGGTAACAGCCATGCAAAAGCAACGCGAGGCAAGCGCGTTGCACAGCAGGTAGCAGTGCAAAAGTTGCATCTCACGTACCTATCCAACATGCGATGCTTATGGAACCGAATATCTGGCTGATGGCATCAATGTCCAATCGCAACCCTTGCGA